ATATATGTATTCATATATTGGACATGTTTTCCAGACCCTCAATATTTGCTACAAAGGACACCCACAACAGGACAAGGTGGAAATGCATGCTGAAGTCCATTATCCCAACCTCCATTTTTCCTCCACCACAGTGGATTTTGGCAGCGTCCTCAACTCCACAGAAAATCACCAGGAAGTCACCATGACAAACTGTTCCCCACTACCGGTATTTTACCACTGGGCCTGTTTGGTGGATCATACACATTGTGTCGTCAGGTATATCAACACGAGACATTGACGGTCGACATCGCTCATGAATTGTGTTTCAACCGAATTACCGTATTGGCCCGAATATAAGACGGTGTTTTTTTTGCATTGAAATAAGACTGAAAAAGTGGGGATCGTCTTATATTCGGGGTCTAGACGTAATACCCATTCACGACGCTAGATGGCACCAGATATCATTGAAGCGAATGCTGAACTTGACTCCCCAGGCCAAAGTGAACCCCTACCACGAAGAATAAAAATAAAAATAGCGGTAGCACGAAGAAGAAAAATAAAAAAATAGCAGTTAGAAGGAAAAGAGAAGAAAATAATAGAAGAGATAACAGACAATGGAGAAACATAGTGACAATCTGGAGTAAAGTGGGTCGAAGATCAGCCAGGTTAACCGGCAGCTGAGGAGAAGTTATGATGTAATTTACATTTCGAAAACCAGAAGTCATTCATTTACGAATGTGATTGCACTTTAGATTTGAATGAGGCAAAATAACATGCTTTTTCTCTCACATATATTGTTATAATCATTTGTTTCAGATGCACTGTAATTATTTTCTGTATAAAAAATAATTTGGTGTTAAAAAAGTCTTTTTTCAAACTTGAGTCTTGGAAAAAGAAGGGGTCGTCTTATAATCTGGGCCATCTTATATTCGGGCCAATATGGTATAACAAAAATAAAAATTCATGAAATAGCCTGGACAAATTTGATTTCTCCAAATACATTTGAGCCATTGAGCGCGCTCGACGATAGTCATGCTTGAACTCTGTCATTAATTAATTATAGTATATTTGTGAATCCTCATTAATTAAAGCTCCAATTAGACCTCAATCATGTTAACTATTTAATTTCATTTACATATGCAGACAAAGTCACAGCTCAGTCACTTTTCCAAATATTTCTGCATATTCTTGTATTTGCTCCCTTGTGGAATTGTATTTGTATTATATATATAATATGGCTAGTATAATTATTTGTTTAGTTTACTCCTATGTTTTACTATTCCACACTGTATCCATTTTAGAAAATAATATAATACTTCTTCCTCAAAAGGTCTTCTGACCCCTCTGTACCTGCTCTCAGCGAGGAAGGTATTATCCCAGACCCGGACGTCTCAGAATGCTCTGTGTGTGTGCAAGAGGTACGCTTCAACATGCAAGTAAACAACAGTCATTATGAAAAGCTCTTTGTGCAGAGTATGAATTATTATCCATCCATCCATCATCTGAACCGCTCATCTTCCTGAGGCCCATGGGTGTGCTGGAGCCTATCATAGTTGACTCGGGGCACCCTGAACTGATTGCCAACCAATCACAGGGCACACAGAGACAAAGAATCACTCACAATCACACCTAAGGACAGTTTAGAGGCCCGAATTTGTCTACCAGGCATGTTTTTGAAATGTGGGAGGAACCTGAACAAAAACCCACGCAGGCATGGGGAGAACATGCAAAACTCCACGTAGAGAGGTCCAAATTGGACCTGACAACCTCTGCACTGTGAGGTGGACGTACTAACCAGTCGTGCCACCCATGCCTCATTATGTTATGGATTGTAATACAGTATTCTTCATCCATCCATTTTCATGTTTCAGGGGTGAGTTCAAGTCTGTCCCAGCTGTCTTTGGGTAAGGTGGATGGGGGCACAGATAGACAACCAACCATTCAAACACATATTTACACCTTATGAAAATTTAAAGACTTTTACCTAATGTGCATATTTTTGGAAAGTGGGAGGAAGCCACACGAGTGTACCAGGAGAAACCCACACAAGCACAGGAAGAACATGCAAACTGCATACAGGATTGTGTGACCCAATATTAAAACCCAGAACCACAGTGGGAGAATGAATTATTTTGGGCCGTGGTGCTGAAAAATGTATTATGTGACAATAGTAGGGTGGTTTGAACTGATGTTGATATTCTTTCTGTAGATTTTTGATGTCTTACCAATGCATGGACATCTGAAACCCGGCGAGCAGCAGTTGGTCACGTTCATCTTCCACGGCCAGGACTTTGTTACCCGAGAGGTGGTCGCACAGTGCCAAGTAGAACATGGACCGATATATAATATTGAACTCAGAGGGGAAGCATCAGAGATCAGCTTCAGTCTGGATTCAACTACCGTTGACTTTGGCCTACAGGTTTGACTGCCTTTAATATACCAGTCTGCAGGGCTGGCCTGAAGCTGATATCTAAGACTCAAAATTGACGCTTCGGTGCTGACATAAGTTTGCTCACAGACGGATGAACTCATTTCTAAGCAACATTCATTTGAGTGCAAAAATGCTATTATCGCTCACATTTGCTTATTAACATTAATTATATAGGGTCGTTATTTTCTTGATAATGTACTTTGTGATTCTTGCAAATAGAAAACAATAAATAAAAATTTATAATTTGAGAAGCATTTTAAGTTTTGTTTTTTTGTTTTTTTTAATTCCAGCGTTTTGATCAAATTGGCGAGTCAACTGTAATTCTGAGGAATACTGGAAAGGTGGGCTTTAAATTCGCTACTGAAAAGCCACAAAAAAAGAAGACAGTGGAACAGGAGAAGCAAGATACCATGATGGAAAATGAGGATGAGCAGAACGAGGAAATCCGACCTGGTCAACCAAAGGTCATTCCAGCTACGGTGAGCTGAAGTTGAGACCAGGAACGTCAATCATTTTATCTACAGAGTAGTTTTTTTTTTCAACTCATTGTTTTGTGTGGCAGGGTTACATTGACGCTGGCTCGAAATATTGTTTGCGTGTGCTCTACCTTCCTGGCATCCCTGAGAAGTTTGAAAAGCAGTTTCAACTGGATGTTGCTCACTTACCACCACAGATTATCACACTCACAGGCGAGGGAGTGTTCCCGAAGATCTCCCTGAATTTGCCTCGCAGCCTAGGTAAATGTAGACCAATGCAAAATACAGACGTGAACCTATTTCTGATGCAATGAGATCATTGATTGGAATACAGTACATACATGGAACTGTAGACCTTTTTTTCCAAATCTATTATTTCTTTGCAGCTAAGGAGAGCCACAGTGATGTGCTTGACCAGGCCAGAAAAACAGTCAAAATGGAAGGAACCAGTGCCTTTGATGTCAGTCCTCAAATTAGTCCTCAAAATAAATGTTACAGATGTTAGGCTTTCAAATCTTCTGTTCTTCTAAGAGGTCATTTTTGATGTGTTTCAGTTAATTGAATTTGGTTATATTCGAGGGATTGGAACAGATGGGTTGAGTACCGTAATTTCCGGACTATAAGCCGCGACTTTTGTCACACGCTTTCAACTCTGCGGCTTATTTAATGAAGCGGCTTATATCAAGACTTTTCTAACGGCCGCCTGTGTACTGTCTTTCTTTGTAAATATCTCATGTTACAATATGGGCACCTGCGGCTTATACACAGGTGCGGCTTATGTATGTACAAAATATTTTTTTCCTTTAAAAATGTAGTGGTGCGGCTTATAATCAGGTGTGCTCTATCGTCCGGAAATTACGGTATCTTAATTGCTACTGAGCATGAGTATTATGTGTCCTGGAAACAGCAACTATATCCTGCATATACACATTGACTTTGAGCTCATCTGTCTTCTTTTAGTATGAACAGTTGCTTCTTTTGGAAATTGAGAAAATGCTGGTCACAGAAAATGCTTTGGCTGTCAGCAAAAGCCTTCTGGAGGTGGGGAACTCCCAAGGTTCCACCAAAAAATGGAACAAACTCAGCAAGTATGTATTAGCATGTCGACGTACAGCTACACGTTGTGAAATCCATGCTCCAACAAATCGACCTAAATATGAACTGATTTTTTTCTCCCCTGGACATTTAGATCAGGAGTGTTGAAAGTGTGGCATAGTGAGCCTCACCTCAAAGAATATAAAACTCCTTCTCGTCCCCCCAGGTTCCTCCTCCCAGAGTATGTTCTGGATTTTGGTTATGTTGTTCCGAGCCAAGTCCTCAAACAAACTGTTAAGATTACCAATAATGGACCATTACCTGTGTCCTTCCATGCCAACTCCAAAGTCACTGCAGGTAAAATGCATTTGCATGTTTAATACAAACATTGACGTGCCTTTTTCAGTACTTTAAGATTTGATACTTCTAAATGTTGTGTTATCAAAAAGAATCCCTTATGATTGGATTTTTAATACAGCATGATTACTATGTTCTGCCATATAGTCAAAACATGCTTTACTGCTTTGTTGTCTTTCCTAATTTGTGCCATAAGCTATTAAAATGATGTGATTATGTGCTTGGTCCTTCAAGGTTTCAAAGTTGAATTTGGTAGCGTAAGGAACCTTTCCTGCGGTGAGAAAGAGACTTTCACCGTTGAATTTGATTCCCAAAAGGGCAGCCTGTCATTGGGGATTAGAAGTGCTCTCATTCCAATTCAGGTACTCGTCACTTCATGAGAATCTTTTTCATTTAAAGTACATGTTATGGAAATGTACCTGGCCCTATAGTCGGCTGCATCTTTTACTGGAAAGTTTTGGTTCTATACCTTTCACTGGTGCTGAAAAATGAGCCTTCCTTTAGGAAGTAAGCGTCTTGTGGAAGTCGAGCCTTTCGTTTTTTTTTTTTTTAGTTGGATGTCCGTTTTGAGTTTCTCCATGGAATTGAAAAGGCATTTCGTTAAGGCAAACCAGATTCCTCATTAATTTGTTAATTCTTGGTTCTGCCTCTTGTCAGCCATCTCATGCTGTTCAGCCTTGCTCTCAGCAAATTGCAGTGAAGGCTACTGGATGACATAGTGCCACTTCCACAGGCTAAAAAAAGGCTTCTGTGTGAAGCTAACTAGCTGTGTGTTAGCCTTCTCCTGTCCAGTGTTTTTGGCACATCAGTTAGGAGGTTTCATTTCGGACTGTCCATTTACGTCCACATACCGCATTTTCCGCACTAAAAGGCGCACGTAAAAGCCTTCCATTTGCTGAAAAGCTCGCAGCGCACCTTAAAATCCGATGCGCCTTGTGTATGGTTATTACAGTAATATGTCGACCCCAAAATGGCTCATTGCTCGGGACATGCTTACAACACAGAGTTCAAACTTAAGATGACCGGGTTACGCAGTTGAACACGGAAATAGAGCAGCGGCAAGAGAGTTCAACGTTAACGAGTCAGTGTTATGACTTGCTGTTGGTTAAGTGAACTGTGGCGCTGCTTTATTAAATAAGTTTTACTGACATCTGATCGTTCTGTTGGCATTTCCTTGAGCGTAGCTCCATCTAGTGGATGCATTGTAGATTGTGTCTTATAATGCGGTGCGTCCAATATATGAAAAAAATTACAAAATAGGCCATTCATTGAAGGTGCGCCTCATAATCCAGTGTGCCTTTTAGTGTGGAAAATACGGTACACCTAAAGGCAGTGCAATTCATCTCTAGTTCTGCCATCTTTGGAAGGAGTTTGTCAGAGGCATCTCGTTCTTCGTCTTGTTGCTTGCAGCAGCCTTATGCTATTAGCGGGCAGCGCTGACATAACTATGGTGAGGAGGTAACAAACCTGTTGAAATATGTTTTATAATTAGGGCATCGATAAAAATTACCGGTACCTGACACAGGGCTGCCTCTTCAAAAAGAGCTATTCTCAGTGAGACAATACAATGAAGTGTACAGTCATAATTTTTCTCGGTCTACTTTGATTGTCAGAGGGTTTTATTAAGACACTAAGCAACTGTTTTAAATTAAAAAAAGAGAGAATATGTCTCCTTTAATCCAATGTACAGTGTGTTTTAATTGTAAAATCACATCCTTCACAATGCAAAGTATAAATGGGATGTTTCTTGGATTGACAGGTTATTTTATTTTGGGTTACAGGTCATAGGTGGTCCATCAGTGCAAGTGCGTCTTTGCGCAGTGGTGACTGTGCCGTCAATCTCTGTTTCCTCAGACACACTGCAGTTTGACATTGTGCGGTGTGGATTGTGTAAGGTAATACAATGTGATAAATGAACATGCGTTTTGGCAACATGATTTTCAACAAAATGTACTTTCACCTTTACGTCATATGTCATTATTTGCACGGAGTGACATAAGAATACCATGTGTAGTGTAGGTTGCCTTTAGGTGCAGGAAAAAGTCGAGTCAGCAGCTAAAAATGTCAAGTTTTATATTCCATCAGATTCAAACAATGCAGCTATTTAATCATGAATCCGTGCCCTGCCAATGGAGCATAGTGGAGGATGTGAAGCCTGTAAAGGTACTCAACAATACAAGCTGTCGTCCGCTCCCAATTACAGGTTAATACATGTCTTTGCATTAGCTTGAGACTTACTTTTTTTCTACTTTTCGCTCAGGTTGATAAATTCCTGCCCCTCCATCAGCGCAGCAAATATCTGCAGCAGCACCCGCCACCACCTGTGATGTTTGAGATGACTCCTTCTTCCGGTATTCTCACCCCCGGCGAACGGGTCAATGTGCAGGTCAAGTTCAGTCCCACTGAAGGGGTAAACACATTCATCTTGTAGAGATTGCACCGAAATAATGCGAATACAGGGAAAATAATGATTGTGCAAAAATGAGAACAAGCACATTAACTCACAATAAGTTGATTTGTTTGCAGTGTCTTTACAAGAGGCATTTAATAATAACTGTAAATGAGGGCACCCAGCCGGTGATCATCACAGCCCTGGGACAGGGTGAAGACCCAGAACTGGTCTTTTGTCCACCAGAGTTGACCATGGGGCCTTGTCTGCCATTCAGCATGGAGATTGAAGCAGAGGTCATCGTTAAAAACCCTTGCTCTTACCCCATTGAGTTCTACTCTCTCGAGTTTGACACACAGTACTTGAAGGAAGAAAAGGTAGAGTTCTTTTTGCAAACTATTTTTAATCATATAATCCCATATTTGATGCCATATACAGTCATACCTCAGTTTTCGACCATAATCCGTTCCAGAAGGCCGTTCGAAAACCGATTTGTTCGAAAACCGAAACTACGCTCTTTTAAAAAAAAAAAAAATCTTTATTGAATACATCTGTTCACAATGGAATGCCACATGAGGAAGCGTCACTTCCTCGTCTACCCGAGGAAGCGTCACTTCCTTATGTAAGGAAGGCGAGAGGAGTCAAGTGACGCATTCAAGTGCGCTCGGTTTGTTCGAGAACCGAAATTCAGTCATCATCTGAGGCAAAAAACCCCTCGAAATTTTTGGTCGAAAACCGATTTGGTCGAGAACAGAGACGTTTGAAAACCGAGGTTTGACTGTATTGTGTTATTGGGTATTTTACCAAGCACACGTAACTATGTAAAAGCTATTGTTTTGGCTGTGATTGTTATGATGTGTCCATTCACTCATTCATTCATTTTCCAAACTGCTTGAACATAAAATTATTTTCGGGAAGAAAAAAACTATTGGGTGGGGGGGGGAATACCGGACTTGTCAACAGTCAATCAGAGAGCACATGTAGACAACTCTTCATGCCTGGATGGATTATTTAGTGTCCCCAATGTTTGCATCTTTCAAAATTGGGTGTGAGATCTTATTGTGAAATCATAGTTTGAATGGTGTCATGCTGTGTTAGGGTGCCCTTGTAACAAAAGGCACATCTGCCGAGTACATGAAAATTCTACCTGAGTAATGGTCATACATTATCCAATATAACTCTCAAGCCGCTTAAACTGAAATTTGATCCATCCATTTTCTGCACCACTTGAGCTAGAGGCCTTCTGAGAGTACATCTTTGACTCGACGCCAGTTAATCACAAGGCACAAACAAGAACCACAACAACCAATCATATCCCCGCCTATACTCATTTTCGAGCAATGTATTCCAGGGTTTCGAGCAATTTTCTCGAGGGCCACTTTACAGCATGTTTCAGATTTTTCCCTCCTCCAACACACCTGATTCAAATTATCCGAATCATTATCAGGCTCTTGCCGAGCTTACTGATGAGCTGATAAGCACAGAGAGAACAAATACGCCAGAGATTCAAAGTCAGAATTCTTGACTGTGAGGCAGAAGCACTCAGCAGTGTCATACCATGCTACCCCTAAAATATAATCCATTTTGCCTTTTTTTTTTTTTTCAAACCTCAGTTTTCTGTATTATCCTCAACTGCTGCACGTCCTCTGAAGTACTTTAGTTCTCCATATGAGAGGCATGTCATTGGTATCATTACAAGGAATAATGGACTGAAATACAGCATTTTCCCGATCTCTCTCTCTCTCTCGCTCACATACTCTCTCTGGATTTATTCGATATGTGTCCCTTCTTTACTTTCTTACATCACTCTGTCAAGATTCTCAATCTACTGGATGGATATGATGCAAACGATGTACTGTTGTTGCCTCCAAGATATGCCGGGGAGAGTCTTCCTGTAGAACTTATGGACTTCTACAAGGATCACTGCTCTCGGCTAAAAGGTGATGGAAGTATCAAGCATTGCTGCCTATGTGCATTTGACAGAAATGATTTCATTCATAGGGTGTTTACTGCAAATTTAATGACCTAATCTACCTTTATACTCCAGATAAAAACGTAACTGGAATGAGTCTGCAAAAACGAAGAGGTGGCAAAAAGGGTGAAAGACGTAGAACTGAACTCAGTGAGTGTGACTGCTCAAACTTTGCAAATCATCGCTGTCCTGTTAAAAGCACCCGTGTTCATTTTTGTCATATTTTACATTCATGGTGTGTCCGGGTTTTCGGACATCCCATTTACGTAAAAATGAAAAAAAAAAAGACAAAAATGGACTTTGGTGTTTTTCACAGGACAGCCACAAATTGCATTCAAATAACTTGAAATGGGAGATCCTTCGGTCTATTATTTTAAATAATCAAATGTATCATTGTTATTTACTATCATTTTTATTAATTTAATGCTCTTCTGTGTATGTGTACTTAAGTCATTTCAGATATAATGAAAGCAGAAGCTACTGGGAGTCTAGGAACACTCGAGATAAACCCTTTGTCCAGTGCAGTTGCCCGCTACATGGGTGTTGACCTGTCACCTAAAGGTCTAGCTGCTCTGAACTGCAGAGGCATTGCTATCATTATATATGGAGCCCCATTAACAGGTAACCAACCAAACATTGGCGAATCGAGTCTTTCTGCAGCCCAAAAACAAAACAAAACAAAAACACTTGATGCGATGTACAAACAAACCCCAATTCCAGTCAAGTCGGGACATTGTCTAACACAAATAAAAACAATACAATGACTTGCAAATCACTTTCGACCTGCAGTTAATTAAATACACTACAAAGTCAAGATATTGAATACATCCATCAATTTTTTGATCCGCTTTATCCTCGCTAGAGTCGTGGGCGTTTTGGAGCCTATCCCAGCTGTCTTCGGGCAGTAAGCAGGGCACACCCAAAATAATTTTCCTTAAAATTGCATCGAATTAATGGAAATTGTCTTTTATCTTTTCTCCATCTGTTCATGAAATATATATTTTCTATGCTGCTTGTCCTCATTAGGGTGACAATTGAGCTACAGCCTATTCTAGCTGACTTTAACTCCAATGTCTAAATTGATCTCATCATACACACTGGCTCTTTTTCACCGACATCAAGCATGACACTTCGACCTCTGAGCTTTTATGTGACTGTAAAGGCGTTGTACTTTCACTCTTAGGACGTATCTCTGGAATGTACTATACATGAACAGCATGGGTTCAGAATTGAGATGAAATCCTATCAATGTGTTTTTGCTGCTCTTCCATTCATTCAGATCAAAGCAGCAAAGCGACTGCTCTGGCCAATCACTATGGAGGGGCTTGTCTAAGTATGGATGCGATGCTCGCTGACTCACTGATGCATGGGACTTCCCTCGTTAGCTTGGCTGGAAGACAGCTGTTTAACCGTGCTGCTGAGGAGCACGCTCAGAGGATGGAAGAAGCTGGTATGCACAGTATTCTTTGCAAACTTTTTAGACTACGGCATCATTGAAAGAGGACATAATAATTTGCCTCTATAATGTCTTTCATTCAAATAATTGCTTTTCCAGAATGGCGGGCATCAAGTGTGAAAATTAAACAACCGAGGAAATCTCATTTACAAATATACAGTTGCAGGAAAACGTATGAGAAGAATTTGCAAATAGTGAAAATCCGCATGTAACTGACCCCAATTGAAATGTGCGTGTGTGCGTGTGTGCGTGCGTGTGTGTGTGTGTGTGTGTGTGTG